GGGGCCTGCAGGCGTCAGGGCCGGGGGGGGTCCCCCGCAGAGCCTGGGGCGCGCACCGAGTGTCATTAACCGAGGGATGCCTGGCTAGTCCGGGGGATTCGCTCTGCTGGGACCAGGTTCCGTCCACACACAGCGCTCGGACCGCGTCTGCACTGAGCCCGCTTGGGGGAGGGGCTTGAGGGAAGAGGCGTGGCCAGCGATCGAGGAGGGGCGGGGCCTAGGGCAGGGGAGGCCCTGCCTCTGCCCTCCCGCAGTGGAGAGGAGTCATGGGGGGGAGGGTGCCCCGCATGGTCCACCTCGGGGCAGGTCTATGCTTACAGCGCTGCAGCCCCATAAATGCAGCTGGGCGGCTGTAGGGCTTCCCTGAAGACAGGAGTTACTCATGGGTCACGGGGCAACAGCCAGGGCCACAGGAAAAGCTCTGTTGGCTACAGAGTTAGATCAGGAACTGCAAGAGATGGTTCCCCGTAAGCCCACAGTGCGTATTCTACGGGACCATCCTGTGGGAAGTGGTCCAGGATCACCTCTGTCGCCATAGAACTGTCAAGATCTAGTGGGTTGCATCAGGACTACTTGGCCATCAATCCAGTGTCTTCCCTGCTGTGCCACAGATTTCACGTGGGATCTGACACACGTCACTACGCCTCCCCGTGCCTCAGTTTCCCTTCTGTATATTGAGGCGGAGGAATGTGATAAATGTGTTACAAATTGTGCAAAACTTTGAGCTCTTCTAGGAAGAGGAGGACGGTGCCGGAGGAAACAAAGTTTTTTCAATTTGTGGATCTCACGCACTTCAACCCTTTAAAGTCCCCGCTGTCCATGTCTTCACTGCTATGGTTACTAGTGCTAGGCACCGTCCAGCATAATTTGTGATGCAAATGTACTCAGGGAGGCATCTCCGGAGTCCAAAAGGTGCCTTCTGGCATCCTACCCCTTCCTGCTGCATGGCCCTGACCTTCCCCAGTGTCTCTGTTTGCCTGGAGGAGGAGAGAAGGTTTCTCTGTCTTATCACCATGGAGCACTCAGGGCCTCTCTCTCTCTCCTCTGGAATGCAGCCCATGCCCGCCTCCGCTCTTGGAGGCCTGCTGGCATGGCACATCTGGTTTGCCATGAGCAGCAGACAAAAATATGCAACCCGGGGGCCCACTGTGGGGCATGGTTCTGACACCCCTTTTCTCTGCTGGAGGCTGGTTAATTTATAGCCGGTACAGTTGGGTGCATCTCACAGCCAGCCACCTCCCCCAGATTCCTCTGCCCTAGAAATATTCAGAAAAACCCTCCCTGCAGGCAGTTAGAGACAGCCCCCTTCTGCCTCTGCAGCCGCAGGGGCACAAGGGAACGGTTGCAAAATCCTCGCTCAGTGCAGGGCGAGGAAAGGTGCTCGGTCCGGGCAGCTCTGAGACTCACAGCTCGCTCTACTTTCAGTTTCATTTCTCTGCTGCCTGCTCAGTGTTGTAGCTGGGCTGTGGCTCCAGACATGAGGCAAGGAAGGCGGGGGAGGTGGTATTTCTATTGGACGACTCTGGAGGAGAGAGATAGAGAAGTGTGCGAGGCCTGAAGAACAAAGGCAGCGTATCCCGTCCAGTGCGCTAGCCCTCCAAAGAACGAGGGTGGGGGGGAAACGAGCCAAACGCTCTGGAAGTTCAGCCCCAGAAGCGCCAGGAGGGGAAAACACGATTCACAAAGCGACTGCTCTGACCCTGACCTACCAATCTTCATCCTCAGACGAAACTGCCTCAAAGACGGCTCTCCCTCTGCAGGCTGTCCACACGCACACCCCAACCCACAGGCTCCGAGGTGAGCCAGGGGACAGGGTAGAATTAACCTGTGGCTATAGCTATAGAAACAGTCCCCACAGTTAAACTCAGGTCCCAGGATTCGGATCCCTCAAACCTGACTGCACCCCACTTCCTTACTGTCAGCTTCTGGACACAGTGCACACAGGCTATGTCCATACCGGAGTTATGTCGGAAATAGCTATTCCATGTCTTTTGAGTGCACCTGTTAGTTCGAAATATAACAGGCTCGCTATTCCGACGCCCCTGGAAACCGCATTCCAGAGGACGTTTCGGAATAGCGATTTATTTCCAAATCAGTGTTGCGTAGACGGCTCCACATTTTGAAATAAGCCATTTTGGAATTGACTCGAAATAAGCTCCACAGTTTGCATAGCTCACATTGTGTCGCTTATTTCGAGCTTCGGGTGCAGCGTAGACGCACTCACAGAGTTGCTGCTTCTGTGGAATCAGAATCCCCCAGTTCACCAGCTTTGCCTCCGCTTGGCACCCTCCTTCACACCCGGCACTTAGTTGATTTACAAGTTCATCGGACCAGGCTTAAGCTCGAGAGTCCAACAGAAGCGAGTGTAAGGACTGAAAACGCGGTTACAGAAACATCGCCCATGCATTCTAGAGCGGATACTTATGAACCAGGATGGTCAGTCCCTACGGCACTTGGCCAGTCGAGAGCGCTGGGGTCCACATTTCTTGAGATCGCCCACCCCGGCAGTGTCCCCTCCATGATGCATGTCATCCGGGGCCTTCTGCATTCTACCGTTCCAGACCTTTGGTCTCTTTCCCCAACCTGGGGTGTTTCATCACCTTCCATTTGCCCCCACAGGCCTCATGCACTACAAAGGGACCAATGCCTAGCCTGTAAAAGCTTGGCGGAGCTGACTGTTGTGCTCCCTCTTCTCTCAGAGCCACCTCAGCCTCGGTGACCACCAGCGGCTCTGAAACACAACATGCCACCTTCCATCACTGCGCCAGTGTTTGCCATACAGAATTCCCCCAGTAACAATGACAACCAGCGAGTGCTTAGCTTTTGGCACAGACTGCATGTGCCCTCCCCCCTTCACTGAACTATCAATTACAGGGGAGATGCCCTGTCTAGACAAGTCCCTGGGTGCCTATTATATATTTCAGAGAGTCTGTCTGGTCATGTGTCTGTTTACGAACTCCTACACGGTAAGAGCTAGGACCACCACATTTGCTATACAGCTTCCTCTTATTGTAACTCAAAGCAACTGCAGGGTTTGGTTGTACCAGGACAATGGGATGTGCCTGGAATGCGATTGTCTCATAAAACGGAAAGGGAGGGGTCTGGTAGCAGGGACAGTTATACTCTGTAATGACCACAGGGGGCAGTAAGGAGCCAGAGATGGGGACTGGGACAGCAATAACCCCATTGGGGCAGGGATAGAAAGATTTGTGTGTGTGTGTGTGTGAGAGAGAGAGAGAGAGAGAGAGAAAGAGAGAGAGAGAGAGAGAGAGAGAAAGAGAGATTAAAGGAGGTAGGTGCTGGTGTGTGTGTGTGTGAGCTGCTGCGGTGAGAGGGATCTGTGGTTGTCCTCACTCCCCGAGGCAGCCTGTGCACTGAAAACCCTTCCTCCCCAGCCACACCCCAGAGCAATGACTTAAATGAAGAGAAACAAAACGTATTTGAGTTAAGGGCCCGAACAACGCCGGGTAAACCCTCCTCACTGAGTATCCGCCCTCTCTTGCCAGTACAGGGGCCGTCAGTCACAGGCCGTGCCTGGGAGTTTAGTCATCCCTGCAAATCTAAGAGAGAAACCGCGTCTCCAATGAAGGGAAGCCCAGACTGGGTCCTTGGTGACTAGAGTTTTATTGTTCTTGGGACAGAGGGTCCCCTTGCAAATGCTCCCTCCCGAGAGGAAGAGCAGCTCAGATGCTGGCTCAGAAAGGTTCCATCCTCTGTAAGCAGAGGGCCCCATTCCCCTCTGCTGAGCACCTGCTGTTGCTGTGCACACCTGGTCCATGGCACAGCAAATGCACCTGCTGCTTTGCACGGCGGCATCGCCCATCGGCCTGGAAAATGACCCCTCCCCAGGCGCCAGGGAGGGGGAATCAGGAGAGTGTCCAGAGAAGGGTCAGTACGTAACAAACACTGAACTGCACAGCAGCAAAACAGCCCAGTTGCCTCCTCGCCAGGCACATGTGGGAGGCCGAGCCAGAGACGTTCAGGGCACCTGAGGCTGGCACAGGAACAGGTCTGCCCTGGCGGGACAACCACACCTGGCACAGGCTGAACCTGCTAGTCCGGCACCCTCGGGATCTGGGGAGGGAATTGGCCATCGGAGGGCGATGTTGTCTAGCCGCAAGGCCAACACTTGCACTGCTGGCCAGGCTCTGAGCAGACATCGAGGGGTCAATTAGAGCTAAACGACAGCCCAGAACCCTGAGAGCCAGGCCTGGTGGCTGCAAACAAGCCGTCTGGGACGGCGGGAAACTTGGCCACACCCACGCAAAGTGGGCATCTGGCCAACTCCAATCACGCCGGACCACGGGTGTTGCCGGACCAGAGAGGTTCAAGCTGGGTGGATACCAGGGCAGAGCACTACCCTTATCCCTGGCCAAAGACTTTTCTTCTGAAAGGGGGAGGCGAGGGGCATGTGGAGGGGGAGTTCAGCGGAGGGACCGAGGCTGTAATGGTTTTCATTGCACAATGGCTCTGCCTCTGGTTCAGCTCCACCCAGTCAGGACCCGGGCAGGAAGAAGCAAATTGGGCTCTGCAAAACCAAAGCCCTCCCCTGCTCCCTCAGACCATCCCTGGCCAAAGACTTTTCTTCTGAAAGGGGGAGGCGAGGGGCATGTGGAGGGGGAGTTCAGCGGAGGGACCGAGGCTGTAATGGTTTTCATTGCACAATGGCTCTGCCTCTGGTTCAGCTCCACCCAGTCAGGACCCGGGCAGGAAGAAGCAAATTGGGCTCTGCAAAACCAAAGCCCTCCCCTGCTCCCTCAGACCTGAGTCCACAGCGCTCCCGAAAGCTGCCCCGCCCGCTCCGGGCCCTGTCCACCC